TGAATATATAACTATAAAATATACTATTTTTATATATACTATATTTTTCTCACTCTTCACCAGGCACTCATGTCACTTTCATTTCTTTCAGGATAAATAAATGAATTCACGTGTTGTAAATCAGTCTGTAGGCCTAAAGCGCACATAGCCCCTAAATTTAGCAATCAACTATGCATATTATAAACTTAACATTTAGTGTACAACATTTTTTTCTATAAAATAATTTTGTCTTTGTTACTCTTAGTTATAAAGAGTGATAGTACAGTCTTCATGAGTTTGTCTGCATCCATATTGCATGTTTCCTCTCACTTGTAATGTATGGTAGCAGTTATTTCTTCTAGTTCTTTCAAAGCAGTTCTTTCTGCGTTTCCGCTCAAAGTTGACGACTTGCAACTCGACTTAGACTTGCCTGTCTTGACTCGGGACTTGACTTGGGACTTGTCTGTCTTGACTCGGGACTTGACTCGAGACTTGAATGCAAAGACTTGAGACTTACTTGTGACTTTCAAAACAACGACTTGGTCACACCTCTGACAGAAACGGTAACAAATGAAGACTTCAACTATTGGGATGTGTGTACTCTGGTTTTGTGCATCAAAACAGTTTTGGCTTATACTTCAGTTTTTTCCCTTGTTGTTAGAGTAGTGTAACCTGAATCAGCACAGCGTCCAGTCCAAGACTCTATTCTTGGCCAGATCTGTAGATGGTAGCCTTCACAACACTCTGCCTCACCCTGCTGGAGGATCCAGATTCCTCAGACAGCCTCGACTCGCTTCAGGCCACACTGAATCCTGTTTTGCCCTCACATGCAGCTTACGCTGGAAGCCTGTCCCGGCCTGCTGGAGATCCAGAGAAAGAGCGATAAAGAGATAGAAAAGAGTAGAAGAGGACACTGAGTTCAAAAGAAGCAGCGGAAAGAGGAGATGGAAGACAGATTGAAATTGTCCAAGACGGGATACGAAAAACATAATTATACCATGGTCACACTTCCTTCGCCTGCCATACACCTGTCGAAGCCCTAACGGAATCTCCACATAGACTTCCTGAGAGGATGTCTGCTCCGCAGTGTGTCTGTGTTCTGGGATGCCTACTATATCTCAACCCCGCAGTCTTTGTTTGCTTTTGCACTCCATGCACAATGACTTCAAAGGCATCTGAACTGTGAATAAAACCTGTGTAGGCGCATTCAGCCGATTTCTCAAACAAGTCGCCTATCAGCTAAGAAATTATATGTGCCCTGCCGCGGCGATGGAGTTTATTGTTGGCATTTGAAACTGAAAGTGTCTGCGCCTTGAAGAGATGTCTGGCTTTAAGTCTGGCATCCTGAAACTCTATACAGTATACAGTGATTCAAAAGCGCTTTTGCTGAAACATGGAGATTGGATGTCATTGGCTTGTAATTGATGTGCCGAGGGTTGTTTTGTTTCAGTTGTGGTAATTCCTTCAAAGCGCCGCGCATTTGAGGGAAGTGAATCTGTCTGATGATTCAGAGTTATTGTGTGGCAGCTGATAGAAAGAGAGTGAAAGACCACGTGACAGAATTTCACAACTCTTTGAAGTGATGGCTGAAAGTAACAGTAAAGACACTATGTGAGCACCATTGGCCTCAGACCTGTCATGGTCTTTTAACACTTTTATCTAAAGCAACTTGCTGTACTCTTATTACAGGGACTGCCCTGGGGCAACCTGCGGTT